AGTCTAATCACCACAACGGGGATTGTCATCCAGGTGGGAAAGCGCGTTGGTTTCGCCCGGCAGAGGCGGCTTCTTCTTAGAGAAACTGATGATGCGGTTGATTTTCCTGCCAGCAGCTCGACTCATAGATCCAGTCAGCTCAGAGAATGTCCCTTCTTGCCCTTCCTACAGGAAAAAGCACAGGAAGCATCATAAGAGGATGCGTATAGTGCAAGGACAAGACACGAAACACATGTTTGGATTCTACTTAAACTAAGTTTTATAATGAGATGGGGTTGTTTTTTTTTTTTTTCATTTTTGGCCGATTAAAATAAAGGAAATGAGTAAGAATTGTTTTCAATATAGGCCAATATCGATAAACAAAGCAATAAGCCCCAAATAAGCCGTGGTTACAGTGAATTCAGAATCAGAACAGCTACAGACGCAGAGCCAATATAATGCCATTATAAAGCCTAAAAATAAAAATAAAAACATACTAAAAGGGACAAACTTTAACCTCATCAAAGACACAGGAAGTACTGTAGAGAGTGGCTACATCCTTCCTGAGTTCCTAATGCCATTGTTTCAGAGTGACATCACAAAACTAACAAGAGGAAACGCGCTGCACCTGGAAAACCGACTCTGACCCCAAAAAGCATTCACTAAGCAAAGAAGCTCATCGTTTGTCCATGTCCATACCGTTCTCACAGATTTCGTGGGTAACGTCGCCATTGGCTGCGCTGTCGGAATCAGAAGTATGTTTATCTGGTGACATCATCTGTAGGAACCAGGAAACAGACGGAATAATTATAGGGATCACCACACCACACAATCATTATAGTTTAGGTGTTTAGAGGCTACTGGATGCTAGTAATCCGTACAGACTTACTTTTTCCAGCTCTACTTTTCGCAGTATCATCGGAGAAGATGATATCTCTTTTCCATTAATGTTTTTTGTCAGGTTACCCGCATCCTGAATGACCTACAGAGTTTTAAAAGAAGAGAGTCACACAGCTAAAAAATCAATTCAGGTTATTTAAAGCTACACTGTGTGATTTTTACCCCCATCTAGTGGTGAAAAGTTATATGACCATCCAGTGAATATTAGTTTCTGTTCCTCTCATTTCCGATTTCGTTTTTAACTCCTACGGTGGCCATTGTAGTCCAAGATTAACATGGCTTCCAGTTCGACCTCGTCCATGAGTGTTAAAGAGTAACTAAACCCTTAACCAACTTTTTTTAGTTAATGATCTGTAAGAATGGATCTTTATTAATACCAGTCATTGATTCGAGTAACTTTTATGGCATTTGTTTATAAAGTGTTATATTTCTACAATATATGGTGTAAAAACGTCTTAGTGCAGCCCTCTTCAGGTTGAACGGTGGCTACTGCAGTTGAATTTTCCTATTGGATGTTTGCGGTGGTACGTGACACAGCGGTTGTTGGTGACGTAGGCAAGTTCCATACAAAGAGATGCGTCTCAGGTGCACGCCCCCCTCCGCTGGGGCAATGCATGCAATGCATTCGTTTATATCATTATAGTCATTATAAAATGTTATATTTTACGTCGAAGCACCTTGAGCCAGCTCTCTGCCTGTTCTTTGCTCTGCACAGCCAGCACTAGAGCCTCTCCTCCCGGCATGGAGAAACGAAGCTCGTGCTTCTTGCGGCGTCCATCTTTAGGCACATAGATGACATTGCAGAGATTCAGGGGCAGATCAACGTGTGGAGAGCGATCTTTGGGATTCTTGAAGCACTGTGCAGAATAAATGTCAAGTTTAGAGCTTGGAAAATTAAAAATACATTTCAATCAACCAGATGTTTTGGATGTGCGATTCACCTGAAGTCTGTTCTCTCGGATGATTGTTAGCTGCTTAGCCCACTGACCGAAGCGTTTCTTGCGCAGCAGGAAGGCGCATTTGCGGCAGTCTTTCATTTGCCCCGACGGACTCTCCTCTGAGGGCCACGGGTGCGTCCTCTCTCTGCTTTTAGCTTCCTCATCCTCTTCATCGTAGGACTCATAAGAACTGCTGAGTGCATCTGAATCATTGTCTGTTGACATTAAAGGGATAGTTCACTTTGAAATTAATTTTTGGTATGTTTTAGCTTACCTCAAGGGCATCCAAGATGTAGATGTCTTTGTTTCCGCAGTATTTTCAATTTTGATATCAACAGACAACGCTGAATTTTTTCCACTACCGCGCAAGAGATCACTTCCGACGCTTTCCAACGCTTACGCAGACCGAGGTAAAAACGATATAAATACTGTTCGTTTTCTCACACAAACCGCTCGTTTCGTGTCTTAGCCCATCAATGTGTACTTACATTTACGAGTCATTAAATCATGTTTAATTTGGACTTCTCTGTGCATGCTCTTTGAGGTGGTGACCATAGACCTCCATTATATGACTGACAGACAAGAACGGTTTGACCTTAAAATATCAAAATTGAAAACTACTGCGGAAACAAAGACATCTACATCTTGGATGCCCTTAAGGTAAGCTAAAACATATCAAAAATGTATTTCAAAGTGAACTATCCCTTTAACAACTATCAAAACCCCACACAAATATAGAACATTTTGATATGCTCAAGCATGAAGGTTCCTTACAGGAGTTTTTGCTGGCCCCGTTCAGACGAGTTGTCGGGTAATTGTTGTCAGCGTCTTCATAATAAGCATCCTCTATTGAATTTGGAGGGCTGGAGTTGTCTGGTAAATAAGTATACCGTGTTAGGTTTCATTACTGGCTGTTATTGTGCCATCTTAGGATTGAATGTGTTCGCACTTACTGCGTGTAGATATATACTGGGGCGCTGTTCCCGGTCCGAGCGGGACGGCTTCTTCATAGTAATCATCCGGTGGAGGTGTGGTGGGAAGGGGAGGAGGTGTGTCTGTGGGGCTCTGACAAAACAAAACCAATAATTATTCAATTTTGTTTCACTGCATTTGGTTTCATTTTCAGTCAGTACTATGTTCCTGTTTTGCCTGCGTTCCCTAGATAGTTTCCTTGGTTATTAATTAGTTTTTGCACCTGTTCTGTTTCATGTTGATTTCTCTCCTTCTGTATTTAAGCACTTAGTACTTCCCAGTGTTTAGTTTTGCGTTAACGCTGCATGTTCAGTTAGTGTTTATGATTCCTGTTCCTGTATTCTCTGTATTCTGATGGTCAGACTCTATATTAAATTACGTAAACCAGCATTATGCAACAGAAATACTTTTTTATGATTCTTATTTGGCATTTACTGATTGTGAAAAGCAAACTGATTTTTATATTTATTTTTTAAATAATTTTAGCTGCTTTAAAGGTGCTATACGTATTTTTTAGCGGCCCCTTTCTGTGATGTTTTAGATTGCAACCAATTTTTACAAGAGCGCTCGAACACGATCGAGTACTCATGGTACCGGGCACACTGAGACTTTCAACACACCGGAGAAAACATCACACACCATGCTGGAAACTCATGTAAACTCCCACAACAACATTACAATAATAGGCTACTTTTATCAGCTTGATGTTGAACTAATGCTTCATGCTCGTACCATGATAACGTGACATTTGTGGTGTTATCTAACATAAGGCATTTCACTAACTATTCGTGCATCTTTCACAATCAGCAATATCAACATAGGTGAATGTATAATATGATAACGAAAACGGTTAGACTGAACAATTTCAGTGTAACCGTAAGATCGTAGGAAGAAACAGTCCTGAACGTGTCTGGAAATGTGTATTATAAACAATAAGATAGTAGTGGATGAGTGACGTTAGACAGTAGATTTAGTAAATAAAATAAGTTACATCCTAAAGCACCTACTTTTTGTTATCCTGGAACAGTCTTTTGTGTTCATTTCATGTCTGATATGCTGTATATTGTAGTTTACCTGGCTATTTCATTACAGTTTACCATTATTTCAGCATATCTGAAAACTTGTAATTTGTAATTTATCACAAGTAGCGAAGGTCTCTCCATAATTCAAACGCTCTGCCAATGTTGATCCGTGTCTTCGTCATAAGTCGATCCGATTCACGTTTGGCCTGACGAGCTTCAGCAGATACATTTTTGTTTTGTTTTTTATATTTTTGTGGATTTTGTGGTGGAGTGTGTGTTGTGTTTTTTGGTGTTATCAGACTCATGTCATTAGCGTCCCTTGTCGAATAGAAATAATGGTAGCGTATGTTTTTGCATTTGTTACATTGTCGGGTACCGATTTTGTAGGCACGTGTTTGGACGCCTCCTCTTGCTCCACATCTTTTATCTCTTCAGGCGAGTCCCTGAGATCCTGCAGATCACAATCTGAGAACAAACATCAAAACTTCAATTCATAAAAAACTGCAGGAAAATGATTAGAACTAACAAAGCTGACATTCTTTTTTAATATTTTTATGCAGCACCTACTACATGTATTTATATATTGCAATGTTTTAGGCACTGTTTAGCAGTTCAGTAGCACCTCAATGCAGCACATGAGATCCACGGGGAGGAGTCGGATCAAGATCCAAGGGGTGGAGATGGGTAGGATTAGGGTTGGGTTTAGGGATCAGGGGGCAGAGTTGGGTAGGTTTAGGTGTATGTAAGGTGGGAGGAATTGGATCTGGATCCAACTCCTCCCCGTGGATTTCATGTTCTGCAGTGAGTACCATATCTAGCAGTTTGCAAAACTCATAATTAAAAACTGGGAAAAAACATGAACTCACCAAATTCTTCAAACAGTGATTCAACAAAGCTGGTACCATTTCCATAGAGAGACGTGTTCATGTATATGAAGTCAGATCCATTTACTATAAATGAATACATATGCAACTTTACAAGTGTGATTTACACTTTACACATACATTTTTACATAAAACTCAACATAGAACATCATTAAAGGAGTAGTTCACTTTAAAAAAAAACTTGCTGATAATTTACTCACTCCCATGTCATCCAAGATGTCCATGTCATTAAAGAAATTAAGGTTTTTGATGAAAACATTCCAGGATTTTTCTCCATATAATGGACTTCAATGGGAACCAAACGGTTCGAGGTCCAAAAGACAGTTTCAGTGCAAACTACAAACTGTTCAAAGGGCTTTAAACGATTCCAGGTGATGAATAAGGGTCTTATCAAGTGAAACGATCGGTCATTTAAAAAAAAAAATAACAAAGTTTAAGTTTTATAAGCTCAAATGCTCGCCTTGCTCTGTTCTGTGTGACTCTCCTGTTCGAACTCGTTCATCAAAATGAACAAATCTATTTTCGAGTCAATTCGTTCATTTTGTTCGTTGAATGAACCAAATGACTCGAACAGGAGAGTCACGAACGCGCATCACAGAACAGAGCAAGGCGAGCATTTGAGCTTATAAAACTTAAACTTTGTTATTTTATTTTTAAATGAGCGATCGTTTGGCTTGATAAGACCCTTATTCAACGTCTAGAATCGTTTAAAGCCCTTTGAACAGTTTGCACTGAAACTGTCTTTTGGACATTGAACCGTTTGGTTACCAGTAAAGTGCATTATATGGAGAAAAATCCTGGAATGTTTTCAACAAAAACCTTAATTTCTTTTAGACATGGACATCTTGGATGACATGGGGGTGAGTAAATTATCAGCAAAAGTTTTTTTAAAAGTGAACTACTCCTTTAAGACAATCAAATTTCCTATAATTTTTTAGGATAACAATTTTTTTAAATAGTCCTTTTCTTCAGAGTAACTTTGCAGCCTGAAATACCTTTACATTGCTATAATTATTAATATGTGAATCCCTTCAGCAGGGCCGTGGCCAATAGGTTCAGCTCAGCTGTTATGTATTTGCAGTTCAGTCTCACCAGATGGTTGCAGCTGTTTGACCAAGTTCCTGACCACGCTCATCTTCTCTGCGGTGGCTGAACTCACGCTCTCGTTCTCCAGCAGCTTGAGAAGCAAACTCAGCTCCTTCACCAGGTGCTCCATACCTGCACAGAGATTACAGAGCAGGACAGGATCAGTGACCAGAAACATGCTTGCAGAAGATGACAATCACTAGTAGGCATAGACTTTTGGACCCTTTGCATTTATATACATCAGATGGTCTAAATACACGCGAAAAACCTTTTCTTTGCATATATTTTCTAAGCATGTTACTAGGAGTTCCGGGCCATTTTCATTCAGTCCACTTGACCCTTTTAAAATCCATCAGGAGGTCTCAGCTGTTGGACATCTGATTTCTTTGGCTGTTTGTTGAAGAAACCTTGCCAAAATGCCAAACATGATATCCTGAAGGTTTAATGCAATAAGAAAGCAAAGAAAAGGGGTATGACCTGAATTGATTTCTTATGGTACTGCTCTTCCAAATCTGTGTATGGTGAACAATAGCTGCACTGTTATGAATGGCCTAACAAACACAGGAAACAAGAAACCCCCTAAAGAGAAACTACATTTTTAGAAAGTCCTGGAATAAGAATTTACTTCAACAATGCTACATCATTTATAATGGCTGTCTGTAGGTGTGGACATGTCTCACTATTCATTTTAAGAGGGAAACCTGAATTTCCAGACCTCAAATGTACAGTTAAATACTGTTTTTTAAATTCTGATTAATATGATGATTTAGTACTTGTGTTCTCTTTGGGGTCTAAGAAACTCAAACTATGAAAACATAGTTTTTATAATGTTATGGGAACTAATCATATATACTTATAATATATAGCATGCAATAACAAATCCAAAAAAATAACCATTACTTATGTTTAGGGTCAAAGGCTCAAAGAGCCCAGGAAATACTGGGCTTTATACTAAACCTAAACTAATTTTGACAAACTATACAGTATATCATTTGAAAGCTTACAATCTCTAGTTTTCATATTTGGTGATATGAGATATTACCAAATGAGTACTTACATTTACGAGTCATTAAATCATGTTTAATTTGGACTTCTCTGTGCATGCTTTTTGAGGTGGTGACCATAGACCTCCATTATATGACTGACAGACAAGAACGGTTTGACCTAAAAAATCAAAATTGAAAATACTGTGGAAACAAAGACAGCTACATCTTGGATGCCCATGAGGTAAGCTAAAACATATCAAAAATTAATTTCAAAGTGAACTATCCCTTTAAATCTCTTCCTCAAAACAGATTAAATAGATCAGAGTCACACATCTTTCACATGTAAGCACTTCACACCACACTCATGGGATGGGAAAGCAAAAATCCCTCTTTCAAGGCTATACCTGCCACTCATTATAGATTTGCTGATCCAGGAATTATTATTCTTGGCCAAAAGTAATTACTGCAATATGTGACCTTTCTTTTGCTTCTGCCCTGACAGGTTTTTTTTTCTATCTTTCTGGACCAGATCAAAAAACCTGTTGCATAGCTCATGATGTTTCTTTTCTAGACCCTCACCGCTCCTAAAACAAACGCTGCTTTGAAGTGAGGGTCACAAACCGCAATGCAAACAGGGGGATTTCTAAATTACAGATCTTTTCAGCGTTAGCACTTCTATTTCGAGAATCATCCTGTTTCTTGGTGTGCAAAAGTCCATGTTACACACATACTGTTAATTGAAACAGTGACTAAAATAGTGTAATTTGAAGCCGCTGCAATTAAATATTAAAGACTTTTGCTACATATAACACTTTAGCATTACTCATTACTTCTATTTTTTACACGGCACAGTGAGGAATAGAATCATATTACAAATGTGCCCTTTAAATTACAAAACAAATTGCTCCATTGACTTTAAGACCAGGTTTTTGTTGGTCAATGTTTATTTCAGTTGCCTCAAAATAGCAACGCACCAACAATGCGCCGAATACAACTCGCTTTCATGGGCTCAAATGTATTTGCTATTTAAACAACGTGGCGCAGGATGTGAAAATGATAACTGCGTCGGGCTGAAACTAGCAAAAAACACTTGCGTAGTGCATGGTGCTGCATTGTGCCGGGTGTGTGATAGGGCCCAATAACCTTATTTATCGTTTTATCGAGCCTATGACTGAATCTGGAAATAAAGTAAAAATTATTGAGGAAAATGAGAACTCTCCTCAGATGCCATGTCTGTAAATTATTAATCTCAAACGAATTCATCAAAACAAGTGATTAGGCCAACTTCACCATGTGCTTACTTTGGTGTACGGGAAACGCACCACTGGTTGATTGTCAACAGAGGAGAAACGTATAATTCACAATGTAGATTTCCAAATGCCTTTGCAGTTCTGTCAGCAGAGCACAAACACAGACAGAGCTAACAGAGATAAAGAAAGCAAACCACTGACCACCAGTCTCGACAGCTGAAGGACACCCACCATTTTCAGACAAAAACAAAACTGAGCCGCAACTTTTCCAGAGTAACTTCTGTATTAAAGGAGTAGTTCACTTTTCAAAAAACTTTTGCTGATAATTTACTCACCCCCATGTCATCCAAGATGTCAATTCAATTAAATTTGTCAATTCAAATTGCTTTATTGGCATGACTGTACATATTACAATATTGCCAAAGCTTGTAACACATAGTATAGTGAAGACAGTAATAATAACAAAGTATAATAACAACTTAAATTAAAATGTACAACTTAAATTAATTGCAAAAAATAACAGTGTAACAGATTATAATTTCTATGAACATTAATTTCTATGATGTCCATGTCTTTCTTTCTTCAGTCGAAAAGAAATTAAGGTTTTTGATGAAAAAAAACCCACTTCAGTGGGAACCAAATGCACGTTCGTGACTCTCCTGTTTGAACTTGTTCATCAAAACGAACAAATCTTTTTCCGAGTCAATTTGTTCGTTTCGTTTGTTGAATGAACCAAATGACTCGGAAAAAGATTTGTTCATTTTGATGAATGAGTTCGAACAGGAGAGTCACGAACGCGCATCACAGAACAGAGCAAGGCGACCATTTGAGCTTATAAAACTTTAACTTTGTTATTACTTTATTAAATGAGCGATCGTTTCGCTTGATAAGATCCTTATTCGTCGCCTGGAATCGTTTAAAGCCCTTTGAACAGCTTGCAGTTTGTACTGAAAGTGTCTTTTGGACCTTGAACCGTTTGGTTCCCACTGAAGTCCATTATATGGAGAAAAATCCTGGAATGTTTTCATCAAAAACCTTAATTTCTTTTCGACTGAAGAAAGAATGACATGGACATCTTGGATGACATGGGGGTGAGTAAATTATCAGCAAAAGTTTTTTCAAAAGTGACTCCTTTAAATAGTCATAAACTTGTCTTACTTTCTTCCTCACGTCCAAAACAAATACAATTTTACATCTTAGAGAGCGTGATCTCAAAAGGGTGTCACCCTTCAAGTCACCATGAAATCAAAAATTGTCATTTCCTGCTTTATTGTGGAATATTGCAGTATTTGTTATAAATCTGTGCACACCATTATTTTTACAATTAATATGCCCTTGTAATCTTTACCAAAATAACATCTCTTCACTGATGATGAGGGCAGGACAACCTGTCAAATCACAGCAATAGCTAGACCACAACCATCCAATCAATTCCCAATGGACAAAATCCTTCCAAAGCTTGTTCGAGAAGCCGTTTCAACACAAAATAGGGGGTAAAAGATTACCACAACTTCCGTTTCATTCCAACTTTAAACCCACAGCGAATGATAAGCTATTTTTTAAGTTGTCTTTCATTGAATTGGCTTAATGGCCAACAGAGTTTTCCTCCCAAAGAGCAGGAAACGTGAATATGTGTACGTCCGTAAGGGGAAACAAGAAAAAGAGAGGGACGGAAGAAGAGTAGGAGGCGGAAACTTGGAGCGCAGAGAGTAGGATGACTCTGTTATTGTACTGAGAGAGGCACAATCACAACTCTCCAGAGGGCCATTGTCTGGGTGTGCACTCGCTGACACGGCCGAGGGAGTGACCCGTCCATTTTCCAAGCAACTGAAGTTCCCACACAACACCCTCTAAGCCTGTGTCTTCTGCTGGACATGTTTCTCTCTGGAAACTGGGTCAAGTTTGTGGTGCTGTGCACAGTCAGCTCAGTTACTTACACCTATTCTGAAGGCTTGCCTGTTTTTGCTGTGGAGCATCTTGTGTGCAATGTGTGGGAATGTGAGATTGTTGAACCCCACCTGACTGCTTTAGTGGCTTTTTGAACGTCTCTATACTGTCTGCTGACTCTCACAGACCAAAAATACAATGTATTTAACCTTAAAGTGACAAAAGAAAGACTTTGCACCAACCATTTTATACTGGAAATCCGCAATATAGCAACTTACATTCAAAAAAGATTAGAAAGAAGTGCTTTCTTTGTATAGATTAGAGCCAGACCGATATTATCGGCCGATATTAGGCATTTTCCATAATATCGGTATCGGCAGTTATAATGGCCGATAAATGAATATTTTAAAAATAAAATAAAAACGGATGAAACACGCTTTAATCATCTCTCCTTGGCCTGTTATATTGAAAATGTATGTTTTACAATTTGCAGTATGATGTTATCTATTGCTAAATTATGGCTCATCATAGACTAGCTAACCACAAAGCTAGCTAACGAAGACTGCTAACGTTAACGAGCTTGGAAACCACAATGAACTTTTTCTGCCTAAATAAAGTAATTATTACTGTATTTATAACTCGCATATCTCTAATTACAGTCCCTGCATTGTAAAATGTAAGTTATACTTGCGAGGAGTGAACATTTGAAGAGTTCAGATGCAAAAGCCTCTAAGTGCCATTTGAAATTTTCTTCTAGAATGATCATTTTTATCAAGCTTGTATATTTAAGTTCAGTGATTTCACTTAAATTGCAATGATAATTACCTATTAATTGTTATTTAAGTGAAATTACTGAACTTAAATATACAAGTTTGATAAAAATCATCATTAAAGAAGAAAATTTCAAATGGCATTTAGAGGCTTTTGCATCTGAACTCTTCATTTAGACATAGAGAAAAATTATCAAACATATCCTGTGCAGAAAAGTTAGCTTTTCTTTTACACGTGT